GTGTTTCATGAGCATTTGGCTATAAGGTGTAGACTCTGTTTCTGAAAGTAGGTCCCAGAACATTATCTGGTGCCTTTTATTAACTAAGGTTTGGCATACAGGAGGAGTTTTTTGCCTACGACAGCTGTCCTCATGTGCCGACAGCTGAGTAGTTGAGGGGAGTGGAAAAAAAAAAGATTTTTTTTTTTTTTTTTTTTTTTTTTTTTTAACTTTGATAGGAGAATCAAGTGCCATTTCTGAAAGGAGTTTTTAGCGGAGCAGGGGGATGGATATGGGCTGAATCACAGCTTTTGGATCTCCTAGGACCACAGCTCATCCCTCCTTCTGTCTTGAGAAATGCCATTCCTGTTCCCCCTTCTCCCCTGCTAGTTAGTGTTGAAGTGACAATAGGCAGGGGAAAGTGGGCTGTAAGGAGAAGAAGGAACCGATGACCTGATTAATGTGTAGAGAACAACCAGATGCTGTTTCCTAAATGTGAGGAGTTGTTGGCAGAAAATAAGCAGAATTGGGTAAGACAAAGAGCACACATTATCGTTTGTTAGGTGAATGAGGTGTGTCACTGTCACCCCTGTACAAAAGTTGGAGGTTCCTTTGGAGCATCATTGCATCTGTCTGACCTCATAGGCATTATGACAACAACTGCCTGAAAGGAGGCTGTAGTGAGGTGGATATTGGTGTTTTCTCCCTGGTAATGGGCAATAGGACAAGGGGAAATGGCCTCAAGTTGCGACAGGGCAGGTTTAGATTAGACATTAGGAAAATTTTTTTCAACAAAAGGGTTGTCAAGCATTGGAACGGGCTGTCCAGGGAGGTGGTCGAGTCCCCATCCCTGGAGGTATTTAAAAGACAGCTAGCCGAGGTGCTTAGGGACATGGTTTAGTGGTGGAATAGCAGTGTTAGGTTAACAGTTGGACTTGATGATCTTGAAGGTCTTTTGCAACCTAAACGATTCTATGATTCTATGATTATGATTGAGAGTGTTTCATGAGCATTTGGCTATAAGGTGTAGACTCTGTTTCTGAAAGTAGGTCCCAGAACATTATCTGGTGCCTTTTATTAACTAAGGTTTGGCATACAGGAGGAGTTTTTTGCCTACGACAGCTGTCCTCATGTGCCGAGTGCTGCTGTGTGTTCCACCTGCGCCTGAAGAACGCCCATGAGCATCACCTCCTGCACAATGTCACTGATGTTTGTGTAGTGAAGTATTTCTTAGCAAACACTGCTGCAGTCTTGGACTCCACTGCCTTCCAGATCATTCTCAAGTATAAATCACCCATTTGGTTTTGACCTAGAAAGCTCTGCATGTTGCATATCTGTACCTGAGAAATTGCCTCCCACCTTACCAAGGGTCTGCTACCGAACATACATAAATTGCACAGAAGGGGGCTGGTGGGGCTGTTGTCCTCTGTAAGGCTGCTTGGACTTGTTTGTGCTCTTGGTACAGGACAGCCCAAATTTGTTAACCATGGGCCTCCCAAGCTTTGGGAAGTGTGTGTGAGGGGCAGGGGCTCAGAGGTGCTTTCTGCCCACTCCGACTAATCTGTATCTGTCCATCTCATGTAATTCTCTGGCACCTATCGCCTTGGTAGCTAAGCATGTTTCTCAGATGACCATGGCTTTGTTTTTTCATGTTCTCCTCTTTTTAATAGTCTTTTCTCCTTCCTTTTAAATCGGTCTTTAATAAAGTTGAGAATTCTTGCACAGGGTTTTGTAAACATGTGTTATTAAATTTTAAATCTGTTTTGAAAGTGCCTCTATCCTACTCCCTCCTAGTAAAGTGACCTTTTTAAATGGAGGGAAGTGGGTTTAGATGACAGTCATGATAAATGCGGTCATGTTCACTCAATAAAATAAGGCCCAGTGCATTTGAGGATAAATCAGTGAAATGTACAGCCCCACCTGTCTGTCTCCATCATTCATTTCCACTGTCACTTTCACAGTGGCTGATGGATCACAGTTGCTGTAAAATTAGACAGCCTTTAATCTCATTTCATCCTGATTAGCTTCTCCTTACCCTTTCCCTCTAACTCACTGACTGACACGCTAAAAACTCACACCGGGCTGTGTTTGAGCGTGGCGTACAAACTTCTCTTCAAATACCCTTTTTGCGGGGCAGGCAGGTGTTCCACTGGCTTGAAATCGAAAAATGAGAAGATGGGATTTTCACATTATTAAAGCAAAACAGCAGACAAAGGCTCATATAAAATTAATGAAAGCAGCAGCCTGACCAGACTGTGTGATGGGCCAAATTCTTCCCGTTACACCCTGGCACGCCCAGTGAGTTTGAGAAGATCGTTCCTACTAGAGGCTGAATTTAGCATGCTCATTGCCACGTAATTTTGACTACATCTATGAAAAGTTATGTCCTATATGGGGACATATTTTTCATAATTCATAAGGAATTACGGTTTACAGCACAAGTTTTCTGGTGCTTTCAAGGGGCATTTTATAGCGGTAAAAAAAATCATTCCTATTGTTTTGGTTTCTATGTGTAACTCACGATTCTGAGGGACCCTGAAAATGGTCAGGGAGAAAGACTGCGATGTTGGCGGTTTCACAATTTCAGTGCCAAAACTCCCTCCCTCTTAGATGCCCACTGTGTTGCTCCAGCCTCCCTGTTTTGTCCAGCCCCCTCCAGCCCCATGGGCAGATTCATCAGACCAAGCCCGGAGTTTTTCCCAAAGCCCTGTGAGCAACGAAGGTCATAGTAAAGATCTGCAGTGTTTTATTGCAGTCACCTTTCCTTCTGAAGCCCAAATTCTACCCTCCTTTTCTAAGGCAAGCTTCCCTTTAGCTTTCCTGTGAGTTACGGGTGGTAGTTTGGGTCATTTGGGCCCAATCCCGTATCAGTGGGAATGTTGCCATCAAGTTAAGTAGGAGCCAGGATTAAGCCCTTAGTTTTCAAGGTTTAATTATCATCCTAAGTGTGGGAGTCTTATTGCATAGTTTATATGCATGGGAACAGCAGAAAAGCTTAAAATACAATTTCTTCCTCTACTGGCCCTGTTTGTGTCAATATGGAGGATAAACAAACACAAGTGTTTGTAAAAATGAAAACAATGTGTGAAAAATATGCATGTGCGCTGCCTGCAGACAGTTCTTTTGGTAAATGCTAGATCTCTCCAGATTGACCAAAGGAAGAGCCTGGTTGAGAGAACAACCACTGGCTTGCACTTAATTTGAAACCATAATAGAGCATGGGATGAGGTAAGAATTGAAGACCCTGCCGACTGATCCTGGGGAGTCTCTTCTTGAGAGGAGGGGTCCCAAAAAAGCACCTAGGGAAGACAGCAAGTTTCCCATGGGAGACCCAAATTCATTCTGTAGCACAAGCATCCACAAAATCAAGAAAAGTATTGGGGTTTTGAAAGAGGTAATTTTAAAATGGAAAAATGTCTGAGATCAAAGAATGAGATAAACACAATGTGGGGGCTAAGAAGATAATAAAAATATTGTCATTCTTTCATCGCGCTGTAGGAATCTATAGGTAGTATAAAATCTTATGCAGTGCCTGGTATAGGATTACTTCCCAGTTATAGAAAGTGTACTAGTAACAAATAACCTTAATTAATGAACTTTCATTGTACCTGGCTGCCCAATTTAAGAACTGCTTCACTTACATGACTTGTAGGAGCACAGACTATGAAAATGATATTCGACCTTTACTAGAAACTAAAAATGTACCTTACTTATTCATCATTGCCTTGGCAAAAACTTCAGTAAGAAGCTTAAATGAGCCCACTTGATCTTTAAGAAAATGTCCTAAATAACAAAGCTGCGCGTATTTCTTCTTATTATTATTTGCATATGCTATACTGCACAACTGCATTCTGAGAAAAATAAAAGATAATAAAACAAATGAAATGGGAGATGTATCACCCAAAATAATCCAAGTGTGAGATAGGCTTCCTCTTTTTTTTTTTTTTTTTTTGGCATTGGCAAAAGAGCACAAAGTAAGAGCTGGCCCTGAGTCATATTGATTTCCCACTGCACTGGTTTCCTAAGTGCTCTGTTGATCCGTGTCAAGCAATAAGTTCCCTGCCTGTACATGCACATCACCTCCCCATTTGTCCTCACCTAGATTTAAGGTGCCCATATGATGAGCTGAACAAGGACATCATTTTTCCTACTGGTGTCACTGGGCCAAAACTACTCTATGTGGTATGATAACTAATGCTGTGTAAGTTTACAATTACCATATAATATCACAATAGTGCTGTATGGCACAGCGCAATAATGCATGCATATTCTGTATATATAAGTCCTTATTTTTGTGCCTTAGCATTTGCAGTGGAAACTGTAAATTTAAAAAAAACAGATTATTGCGACTGTAGTTGGTCTGTAGTAATCACAACACCTCCCAAAAAAGGGGATATTGCAAACCTAATGCCACAGTTTTGATCTTTGTTAACAAAGGGCTTCCTGATTAGATGAATAGAAAATGTGTGATTGTGCTACTAATGACATTGTACAGGAAATTAAGCGTATACATTTGGAAAAGGCATTAAATCAGCAGGACCTTAATTTAAAAACTTAAAACTGTATGGAAATGCAGCTTGTTCATTGCTGTGTAATAGAAAGCTACTGAACACACTGACTCTTCTTGTGGAAACATTACCAGCAGAACAAAGCTGGGCTGAGGTTTTTTTAATGCTCCCGAGCATACCAGGATTCCTAGCATCTGCTTATTTTCAGGGAAATATCAGGCAACTTCACCATTTTTTACAAGTTGTTTTTAGAGCGGCATAGACGGCAGTTGGGTGGGCACTGAGAGTCCAGAATTCCAGCTTTTTTCCTCAATTATTTGCAGGATTGAATAACGTAAGATTACTAGTAAGTGGCTTTGTCTGTTGCTAATTCAGTGGACATGTATGCTTGGGGTGATGCATTCCCTTGTTATTTCATACAGATGTAATTCCAGTGTTGTATTTTGTGCCTCTGGAAATATTTGGTGGAATCAGTGCCCTGAGCTGACAAAGAATTTCTTGCTTTACTTGCAGTTATGCCGTATAACAGTGCCCATCACTGTGTTGTGGAAGTGGAAAACTTCTTGTTTGTGCTGGGAGGAGAAGACCAATGGAACCCTAATGGTATGTATAGAATATTAAAAGACACAGGCAGCATCTGCCTTCTTCTGTCTGCCTCTTCGTCAGGTCAGCTGATGTAGTCATTAGAAAGGGATTTTGAGGACCCTCTGCCTAATTGTAGAACCTAGTAAAGGCTACTTTTAGATACTGCTGTCATAAATATCTGGTACTTTAGCATTAGCATCTCCGTCATTCATCAGCTCCCACATCCCTTGAGAAATGCCACAGGCAGCAGAACAGACTCTTTCAAGTGCATGCACCAGGCAGCAGCTGTTAAGAATTTTAACCTTCATTTCCAGTCTCCTTCCAGTCATAATATAATAATGCAGTTGCAGTAGATGAATGCTTCCTTTCTATTGTCAAACCAGATACTTGCAGCTAAAGTTGTTAATGTGTTAATTATCTAGACTCTGAGATTCTTAAACTGGTCCTTTTTTTTAGTCTTGTGCAAGAGCTTCTCATATAGATTATCTGCTGCTACCTTCTTTGATTTGATTACTTCATAAATTTACCGCAAAGAGAAATTAAACAATTTAACAGGCTTCTGAGCAAAGGAAAAGGAGAATACCATGCCTTGCAAAATTCACAAAATTGTCAAGACATTGTTAAAAAGCTTGCACACGAAGAAAGAGTTGTAGTTGTAGCAGTCTGTGTAACAGAGATAATTATGACTGAGAAACCATAAAACAGCTTGCAGGTACACATTTTTACTTTAAAACACCAGAGGATCCAGCTGAAATTACATATACTGCATATATTTTATTGTGAATGCCCCATTTCAGCATCTGCACTAAACCAAATTATAGAAAATTGTTACATCTGTTCACTTCCTAAAACCTGAGACAAACAATCCAGTCCACCCTATAAGCATATTTCTGGTGTAGTTAAAAATATCACTAAATGTCGTAGGGGAAGAGCCTTTCAGTTCTATTGTTGGATCTCCTTTATACTAAACAGGAGATAGCATGGTATCATTAATGATAATTATTATTAGGAGCATCAGCCACTTCCAACAACGGAGGGCCCCTGTTGTGCTTGGTGGTAGGCATATGGATAATAAGAGGCAGACCTTGTTCCAGACAGTTTATAATTAAATAGCCGTGTCACATGAAGGATGAAAGAAAAGAAATATAACTACCCACAGTTTAAAGGTGTGGAAACTGAGTCGCAAGATGATGGAAAGATGTAAGAATGGGTACACATCCTGCATCTGAGATAGGAGTTGAGCACAACTGTGAGATGGGTAGTACCTTAGGTCTGAGGTCACCTAGATCAACTTCTAAGCTGAAGACGTTGCCATCGGACATCTAACAGCTTCCTTGTTCTATGAATACCAGAGCTATGATTTGTCTGTAGAGAAGATAGGAATAAAGGAGGTAGCAGAATTGCTGATACTGATCTCTTTATGAATTTACCCCAAGAGAAATGGATCTTACTTGTCACAAAAAGTGGACCTGAAAATCATAAACCGCATCCTGTGCTATTGCTGGGCTAGTTGTTTCTTGAAACTGATTTGCTTTCCATGTGCAGCTACATGGGAACTGCTCGCACATACCCACTTGAATTTACATAAAGGCCTTCCTTTGCTGTCCTCATAGTACAGAAGGGGCTTCATATGGACCTAGCTGGAACTGTCTCGCCTAGAGCATTACAAGGCCTTTGATTTGAATGAGAATGTGCCAGGTGTTTTTCCAGTGGACAGAATTATCCTTGAGATGAGGGCAATGGAAGGAGCACCATGCATTTCTCTAGCCATCAGACCTGCAAGTTCTCGAGAAGCTGGGTGGGCCCCGAGGAGCACCCACATAACCCTCCGTGCTGTTCCTGTGACTTCCTGATAACCTGGAGAGCATGGGAGACATTTTTTTTCTCTTTTTTTTCTTTTTTTTTACATCCTCCTATGGTTATGCCTTTCCAGTCACACAGGATCCTTGCACAAGTAAATGCTGATGAGAGCAGGTTGCAGAACACAGGCACGAATTAAGACCAACCTTCATAACCTTCAGCGCCCTTCACCTTTTGGCATGCCTACAGAGACCTTCCTGTAGAGAGCAGAGAGCAGCAGCATCTGCCTCCTTTTGTCCCATGGTCCTGATTTGCTAATCCTGATTTCTGATCGCTTGTTACCACATTCTGACAGGTGCTTCCTAACATGTGCAGACCTCCTGGCTGATGAGCAAGGCAAAATAATAGATACAGTTGTCTTGCAAACTGAATTCCAAAATTAAACTGGAGTCAAACCAGTTACACCAGGCACCTTAAGCAGGTCATCAAGTCCTTTTTCTGCCATCACAGGCATCATATAGTCCCATTTTGTAAATTTTCTAAGCTCCGTTCGAAAAGCAGTTGGATTTTTAGCCCCTAGTACTCCTGTTGGAAAGCTGTTACAGAATCCAATTGCTCTAAATGACTAGGAGCCTTATTCTAATTTCCAGTAAAATGTATTCTTTGACTGTCTAAATCACCTTGTTCTCATGCCAAAGTTGGCCTTTAGCTTAATAGTTTTTCCCCTCCTGGAGATTTGTTCCCCTGATGTATTACAGACAGCGCTCCTATTCCCTTTCAGCTTTTGTTTTCCTAGCTGCAACAAGCCAAGTTCTTTGTCTCCTGCCATAAGGTAAACTTTCTGTTCCTCCTGTCTCCGTAGTAGCTCTTCTTTGTGCCTGCTCTAGTCTGATTTCATCTCCCTTCCTGTGAAGTGACCAGATTTGCATCCTGTAGTCCCACTCGAGGCTCACTAAACCCTTCTCTTTCTACCCTGCACTATACAATCTTCTACATACATGGTATTTGTAGTGAATATGTGTATGACACATTACGTTAGGAGGCCAAGGTCCCCAAATCATAGGTTTGTATGACAGCAATTAAAAAGCTGCTATATAACCAGTGACCACTGAAGTCCGCAGCAACTCTGAAAGATGTAGTGAATATGGCAGCATTAAAACCTCCTACTAGAAGTCCAGAGTTATGATCAGTGCTTACATTTTTTTGAAATCCTGCTGTTTGAAATAGAAGTAGATTAATAAATGTCCTAAATAGTGAGACCTAGAGCCAGTTAGATGCCTGCTGTTACTGTTTTGTTGTTTATTGACTCTATAGCTCTCAATGCCTCTTTTTCTAAATTGTCTGTATAGACTAAAGGAATTCAGATGGGGACCAAGAGCAAAGCCTCGCTTCACTAAACCCCGTAGCAAAATGACCAGTTGCACTTAGTGTATGGGGATCTCACCCTATGTCTCAAGATGTGTTTGAGTGGTGCTCAGCATAACAGGCCTTGGTCCTTGTTAGGCACCATGCTGGATTTGAAGGGAAATCTGCATTATTCCATCGGTCTTCTGCTTTACCCTCCTCATATGGAACATGCTTATAACATAGCGAGGGAATGAGTTCCCTTCCAGATGGAGTGGTCAACATGGTTTCTTTCTCTGTTTTCTTGTAGAACATGATCTTAAATTATTATGAATATAAATTCTAGCTGTATCATTATTCTTCTCTACAGTCTTGATGGTCTATTTACACATGCTGAAGTAAGTGTGGAATGAAACAAGCAAAGCGAGCCAATCCTACAGAGGCTTTTCCGATGCAAAAATATTCACCTTGTAGAATACCCAGTGACCATTTGTAGAACTGTGACATACGCAGTTGGGTTATTCTGCTGGCCTGTGAAGCCTCTAATTCAATTTTTTAGTCACACATACATAAACAAAGGTTTCTGTTTCCGAGATCCTCATCTGTTGAAGTCTCAGGTGTTACAGGAAATTGCCATACACTCTCTTGCTTCAGTTTTCTTGCTTTGATGTCAATCTGCATGTAAAATAAGGTGAAATCTTAATATCGTGAAGACATGAATACAGTTCTTGGGCTTG